TCGGCGAAGAGCTTCTTTCACACTTTTGCGGGCTTTCCAATCTGGAAGCATAGCACCAAGTTCACTAGCATAGACACATAATTGAGATGGGCTAGATTAGGTGGACAAGTTATATTTTTCTAGGAACAGGTCCAAAATCGAGGTAAAGTTATTAGTTTTGGGCTTTCGGGTTTTTGAGGCGGTTGCCATGGTCGTATTGATAATATATTGACATACTTATTCTTTCAAATTGAAATTAATTACCCGCCCCTTCGATAATGCTTCGCAGAGTACACAATGCTCTAGATCTTAGGAAATATGACTGCCCCAAATGAGAGATCCGAGTAGACATTCAGTTAAGTGGTCTTGGAATATATTTCGCATTTTTGAATGTTTATCTGATTTACCTGTAATAAATAGTGAAAGGAAAATTTAACACATAATAATATCAAAATTACCTCATATGGAACATCGTCTATCCTGCCAATATATCAAGAGTGATGGAACGATCTGTGGGAAAGGATGCTGGCGTAGCACAGGGTGCTCCAGGCATTTTAAATCACGTCCCAAAAAAATTGTGTTCCGTTTGTGACAAGCTAATACTTGGTGAAATTTATAAGCATGTCTGGCGTGAAAGTAAAAAACTGAGATTTGTCTCGACGCAAAGTATCTCAATCCAATCAATTGGCAAAGCTAAACATTGTGTAAGATGAGTCTTCGACTCTGAGCTCTATTATTTTAAATTTAAAATTTTTTGGATACTCTTATAGAACGACAAAAAAATCCGAACAGTGATAGGTAAAATTATCATATAAGCCAATAAATATTTTTTTCCATGCGGACTACTTCACAACATAATTAGAATTTTCTTGAATTATTTCAATCGGGTATGAGAATCGAAGCTTGAGCGCTTCTCTTCGATAACGGGATCATCTATTACATCGAAGAGTTCCTGAATCTCATCAGCTGTCATTGGTTTATATAGCGGAAGCATCGGTGCGCCTTTATCTCCAAAACCAATACTCTTATATGGTTGGCGGTTAATTTGGTATGAATACCCCAAACTCGCTGTTTCTTAGGTTGTTTACTTTTTATGGTATAACCACAATAATTACCAAACAATTGCTTTAATTGCTTTTATAGCTGATTTAACCTCTCCCTCTCAAGCAAAACACTCACACCCTAACCATCACTTCTAAATCATATTGGATCATCCCATCATTTATATTTTACATTTTGCATTTTATATTTAAGATCTGGAATTTCTCTTGTGCGAGACTTAAAGTGAAAGATTGTTTTCGAATTTTTATAAACTTTTTACATGATGCCTCGAATGCAGTTGTGAAGCAACCACTTGTTTTGATAGCTTTCTCATCTGTTTCCTTTAAATCAAATGATTTCTTGCATTGAAAATATGATGAATTCGTTCATTTCATATTAATAATATTAATATTCTGATTCTTGTGCCACATGGCACATGACACGAGCTAATTATATTTTATTACAAATATATATCCTCAATTCGTACTTTTCATAAAAAATCTTTTTTTTCATACATTAGTTTTATCCGAGTGATAATAAACCATCATGTCTAATACTTCTGCAACAACTAACCTGAGACTTAATGACAAAGAGAAACGTAAGTACCATGACTGGATTTGAATATCTTAAATCTACATCACCTGTCTTGCTGTTATTAATTAACCTTATTAAATGATATCTACAGAAAAGAAGATATTTAAGATACCCAAGCTTTTGAAGTCCATCAGAAAGAAAGCATCAGGTTTTTGTCATTGTTAGTTTGACCAAAACATTCCAGAGTCATTAAATAAATGATTTACTTCTCAAGTAAACGCTTAATAATACAGCATCCAATCCGTCCAAAACACTCACATCTACCACGACAGAAATGTCCAACCCATTTGAGACTCTTGAATCCCTTCGCAAGTATGAAAAAAATCCAGGACAATCACAAAAGTTTCTGGGTAAGGCCGAAATTTTCCCTGAACAACATACCAACAATACATATGGCAGTGCTTTTACACTGTTTCTAACTAATTTCTTTGTAGATCGTGTGGGTCAGAACTTTAGATGGCCTGTCTCAATGGATGATTGTGACAAGCGCACGGTTTTCTTTTACTTAACCGACGAAGATGCATTGGAATACGATGATGAAACTGCGCTCAACCTCATTTTTTTCTTTGAAAGTATCGATAAAGGCACATTCGATGAACATAAAGACAGCTGGGTGTTGGTGTATAAACAGGAAGTGAAAAAATACGGGACATCAGAATATACAAGTAAAGAGCTAGAAGACCTCGAAGATGAAATGCCTGGTGCAGTATATTTACCAGTTGATAAATTACGTCGTGACAGGCTTGTGAAGGCTCTGCCAGCAAGGACAGTGTGTGCTCTACGTACTAGGGATGAACATTTGGTCTGATCTTTGAATAATTGTTGTGTTTTAAATCTGTGATAAAATTAGTGCAAAATAATCAATATGTATTTGTGTTAATTGCTTATTTACAATAAAGGTTAGAATTCAAGTTAGAAGATTAGGAACGACAAATTCTGTTATGCTTGGTTACAATTTTCGTGATCCTGTAGAAAACAATAAGTTGTATAAATCCGTTCTCGATTCAGGTGCACCAGAAATGATCCTTCCTTATCATGTCCGTAGGATATTTGGAAGAAGAGGATGGAAAACTGTCTTTGGTGTTACTATCGGATATGGAGCACCCGCTCTCCTGGTTCATGCATCAACAACATTTGAAGTTGCAATTGGGGATGATAATGGTTGGACTAAGTGGGTGAGTATAGACACACTCCGAGTCTGGGAAAAAAATCCTGGCGACCAAGTAGACAGCGCTCTTGTCGGTAACGATGTCCTAGACCAGCTTGCCTTCGTGCATGAGGTAGCGCAAGGATATAAATTTTTAAAAGCTTCAAATGAAGTTGCTTTAACCAATTTCATAGCTAATCTTCCCTAAAATTCTTAGATTTAGTTAGAAGACAAAAAAAATGTACTTCATAAGGCTAATTGCTTAAATTTCAATACCACAACTTGAAAAAATATTAGAAGGAATGTAAAAAGAGCGGTAAATGATGCGAATCTTTTGATGCACATGATGGAAAACGATAGTGCTAAGTATCCATGAAGTAGCACATCTCCAAACGAATTATTTCTCACATATATAAAATTGATCTGAAAACACGTGATCTGTTACCATTAAATCCAAAAGGATTGAACCTAATACTAAAGTTTAAAATGAACTAATACAAATTTTTTTATTAAATGATTTAATACTATTTATTACTATATTGATATGCCACAATTGTCATATTTTTGGTACATCCATGAACATTTTATGCAATAAAGATTGAAAAAATAAAACAAAAATCTCGAAATCACTCAACTATCAATTTGGTCAAATCTGTTTTCCAGTAGTTATCTTGATTCCTGAATCCAGTAATTTGTTCCTACACTTGACGTGATAAGTGTTTCTACTATAATAAATTTGTTTATCCCGCTCGCCATATATCGAGTCTTTCTTATGCCTATTTTTGCATATTGGACATGGCTCCGATTTGATAAATATACGTCCATTTCCTTTGTATTCTCCTGCCAAGCTAAATACAGGAAACAGTCTGTTACTAATTTGATAACCTGATCGTGTTCTTCTTTTGACCATTTTTCAACAGATCATTTGGTTTTAGGTCTGGTTCATACTCTAATTTACACGGAAAATCCCAAACTCAAAAATTAATAATCTATAGGATAGACCACTAAAAAACATCAAAAATTTTGGTGGCCATCAAAGCATTTGGATATCAAAATTTGGTAGTAGTAAACAAGTGGTAGGTAAATAATAGACATAGAAAATACCAATTATGCGAGAAAGGATTCCAGAGCTGAAAAACATAGCACACTTTTTTGGTATTGTACCTCAAATATTTGAATGTGGCCCATTCCAAATTTTTGAAACTCGAAGATGCAGATGACCATGAAATAGTCTAATTTATTAATAATTACATCATTGCAGATTTGCAAACCAGGATGATTTGCATCCAGCTCGGGCATAGCCCTCACAATCGGAACTTCGTGCCTCAGCCTTGGGTGATGAAAGCAATCAAAGGGCCAAAGAAAGCCGAAAACCTCATCGAAAGGAAGCAAATATCAAGCCAATTAGGCACCAAAACGGGCACCCAAAAATGAGTAGGTATCAGTCTAGTCATAAGTATGTAACAATCTAATCATAAGTATGTAACAGTCTAACGTAAGTAGGTAGTAGTATATATATACTACTACCTACTATTCCTCTAATTAAATTAATCATTTATTCATATATTTTACTGTGTAATCATTTTAATTCCTCATATATAAACTATTAGCTAGTTAGCTGTCAGTTTGATCAGTTGCCTTTTTGTTTAAAATAAATTATTTTAATCAGTTATAGACAAATAAATAATCATTTAAATAAATAAAAATTGTTTCCTGTATACTTCAAAAAAGAAAATGTATAATTTGCCACTCAAACTGAAGCATTTAAAAATACATTGAATATGACTATAAAACATTGTATTTTTGTATCCATTGTCAATAATTAATGACAAAATATTAATATTCTGACTTTATGGAGAAATCCATTTATTACTAAAAGCATCACTAAAATAATAATCAATTGTTTTACTCAAAAAAGATAAGCATTTCTCAACTAGAATTGGATTCACTTTTGAACTATTGGAGAAACCACCATTATATAATTATGACGAGTAGGATGATTATTATTTATAAAAAAAAACTAGAATTTTATAAGAAAACAAAGTTGTACTATATAATAATATTTCATTTTTATATTATATATATATGTGTAATAAATAGGAATGTGACTACTTTGGCATGAATCATTTTAGCTTTTAACATTGATTACAAATTCTTTATACAAGCAAATAATTCAGTAAGGAACGTTTTTTTGGAATGGTTTGATATTCAAGTAATTATTCATGCAGGCTTCCATTATCTATATATATTTTATATATTTGCAATGTATTATTAATTTTTAAATTCACAGTTAGATTGGTAATTTATGGTTGGAGGTTGAGAATACCACTCATTGACTTGTCAAATATTTATGTAAAACGCAAAATTATTGATTTGTGATTATATAAAAAAGCACTTATCCTGAAATAGTAAGATATAGATCATGGAAAAAGTAGTGAACTATTAACAAAAATATCATTAAACTTGGACAACTACAATTATTGGCTGTATTTTTCTAAAGGATATAAATACAATTTTATAATGACAAATTGTAATAACAAATGGTCGTATATCATATTTGTTGTTATATTAAATGTATTAAAGGCGTTGACTTTGTTTCAAATGATCGACACGTCTTAATATGTTGTACTGTGTAACAGAATTCTACCCTTAAACACATCATACATTTATGGGAACTCGAGGTCTTTATTGTTTCTTGTATAAAGGAATATATTACATAATATATAATAATTCAGATTCATATCCTGATGGGTTAGGAGAAACTCTTCTTAGACAACTTCTAGGACTTAGTTTGCAAGAATTACGTGAAAGATTGGTACATAATATTATTGTATGCAATGGAAAATATCCAGAGCTCACACAAGAAATTGTAGATAATTTTCGAACATTCATCATACAAGATGAGTCTTATTTTGAATCTTGGTTAAATAATTCTGCTGCGTATATAAAAAATAATGAGATAGGAAATCTTGAAGCCATTATTAGGCGTAGCTCTGGAGCATTTTACACCTGAATATGTAAGACATATGATTCTTTAAGAGAAAAATGGGACTTCTTGCTAGGGAGAATTTTTTGCATGTATGGACTTCACCTAAAAAAGGCTTTATCTTTAGGTTATTTACCCCTTGGACAATTTCCAAATGAGGAAGTTCCAAGGGTTGATGATTGGATTGAATGGATATATATTATAGATTTAGATCATGAAAAATTCTTGGTGCAAAATCATGAATATGAATGGGAATTCAACCTTCAAAAATTATTGATGTACGTTGATGATTTAGCGAAAGAAAACAAAAGCTCTAATAAAAAAATACGATTTCTCAGATCACTATTAGCGGATTGAAAAAAATTTTTTTTTTATATCATTACAACAAAATCACAAGTGTTAGCTATTACTGTATTGATTTTATATTAATAAAAGAAAGGAACATATTATTGTTGCTTGACAATAATTATTGGTTTTTTGGAGTGTTTCCTTGTTTATCTTTGTGAAATAGTACAGAATATATTGATACCTATCAATATCGGGCTGATGCAAGGGATAATTCTATTATATATATATTAATTGTTTGTCATATACAAAAGGAATCAAGATGATAACATAAATTTCATGTGACCATCAAGTCAACTTGGCTTGATCTGAAATTGATATTTGAACATCGGGATCACTCTAACAAGGCGCCCCAAATCCAACCCTGTTCAATAGAAATGAGGAATGTTGAAAAAAATCATCAAAAAAGATCTGCACTACATTTTGCTATTTTTATAGAAAATATCTTGAAATTTTATTATGTAAAGCTTCTAAGCTAAAATCAATCATTGTATATAGAAGCGTTATTAACTCAAAATCACAATGCTCGTACTTATTCTCATTTCTATTGTCTGTGCCCCATTTACTATTGTTTTTTAAAACTTTAATGGAAAGTATTTCAAATTTTATTAAGTGGGCATTGTTTCTAAAGCTTAAAATGTTCCTTGTAATGAATTATACATATAAGTGTTATTAACTAAAATTGACTTTTGGGCAACATTCCTCGTTTCTATTGAACAGGCCTCATATATTTGATTTTTCTTCATATTAAATTTCATAATAATTTTACAAAATACATCAAATTTGTACAAAAATTGAAATGTGTATTATACTTGATATATAAGTCGCATGTACTTACTACATACTATAAACTTTTATAAATCTGTATAAGTCATTAAGTAAGTCATAATTTTAATAATACATTATAAAAACAGCAAAAATAACTCTTTGGCAGGCACAAAGATACAAAGACGTGAAAATCATATGATTATGGTTTACATTGGAGTTCCAAACCTTGGATCAGAAAAAAAAATGATGCTCTCAGCATAATTTGACCAAGCGAGAATATATATGCATGACTCGTTGGGTATGCATTCATCTCAAAGAACCTTTCTCAAAGAGTTATTCTGGTGTCTATCATCGCAATTGTTTACATGTATATTATTCTAGAAGCGACATCATATGCCAATTCTTGAAAAAACAGGTATTGATTGCTATTTGCGAATCAATTTAAACATTACTCCAAAGGGTCAGCACTTCCATGCATGAGGAAAAATCATGCAATGTATATGTTAGAACTAGTAATGATTCGTTCAAAGTGTGTCTTCGGTTCTATTTATTACTATAGAAATAATATATTTATATATATATATATACATATAATATATAAAAATAAATATTATTAGTGTACCTTTGCATTTTCAATAAAATTTAAAGCACCTTTTATATTAACCGATAGCAGTTAAAGATAGCTTAAAGCCTATTCATTAATTCAACAAAACATATAGTAGAAACAAGAATTCGTAACTTTACTTATAGAATTGCAACTTATGTTGAACTTTACAATACCTTTTCAGTAAAAATTTATTAACAAAAGTTATCAAAAGTACGCTGTTGATCCTAGAAAGTATATATACAAAGTTTAATTCAAATTTTGCAATTTTACAAGTTTTATTTGTACAAACCTTAAAATTATGATATTGTGATTTTTTTGCAATGTATTGTATTAGTATAAAGAGAGGAAGAGAAAACAATAGGATCAATATTTATTTCAAGTTCAAAATGTTCAAAACTTGATCTTTTTTAAAAAAAATATATTAATATTAAATTTCAAGTTGGCTCGAGTCCAAGTGTAAACTCGACCCGAATTGACTCATTTGAAGCTTTATATCAGCCACATGTCTGTTCTCTTTAACTTATTAATATCGAATAGATATTAGAATAGGATACTTAGTATAACAAGAAGATGGCAAGGGGAAATGATAAAGAGAATGAAGAAGAAGAGAATGTCGTTAAACGAGCCACTGCAAATATCAAAAAGATAAAGCAACGATGAAAAGTAAAAAGATCACTTGCAAAACGTGTAATTTAATTTACAACTAATAATGATATATTAATATGTGAAAGATCGATAAATGATGGTGATATAAGTATTTGAAGTTGAAATCAGAAGAAGAAAGAGGTGATTAATATTTTGAGAGAAAAATAATAATTCAAATGGTGAAAAAGTTGCAAGTGGTCATCAATCAAAGATGTAGGTTTTTGATTCATTTAGTTTGTATATTTAATTTTTCATTTAGAAATTGTTTAAAACTTTATAGAAAGAAATATTTCAAATTGAAAATGAATTTACTTGTTCTCTGTACATATGTAAACTCGATAAGTCAGTTTGGCCGAACCCGGCCAAAACGTTTCACCTCTTTTTTTTACTATTTAAAAAAAATTTGATAAGTCAGTCAATATATATAAAGTCGCAATAAGCGCCAAGTCAATCAATCACTTAGCCCAAGCCAGTATTGTTAAATTTTGGAAACTGGAAATTGGAACATGCGTTCCAGTTTTCAGTTTCCAGTTTTCCAGAAACCTTATTAAGGAACAGTAAATAAAGCTAGAACACAAATGGTTTAAAATGAATTGAATATTTATTATTTTTATTAAAAAAACACCCACAAGATTTTTAAACAAAACCAAATTTAATTTAAATTAGGGAACTATCAGCAAGTGAATTTAAATTTGGCCTAAATAAAGTTTCAATCTTCCATTGTCAGCAAGTGATTATTACTATCCTTTCTTTTGTTTGGGATAACCGAGTTACTGGGATTATTTGAATGAATTGGAAAGACTTCATTTTGTGAATTATTATTAAAAATAGTGTTATAGTTGATTTATTATTATATGATACAATATTTGAAAATTAAATATAAATGTTATTATACCTTGATTTTTTCTACCAATATTTCTTTTATTTTTTATTATTTAAAGTTGTATATTAACAAATTCAATTCTATTGGGATATATAGCTTTGAAATTGTACAGGATAAAAGTTGTTTTCCAATGGAAGGAACAGTGTTAGAAATTTTACTTCTAACGGCTTCACTAAATGACCAATCAAACCTTTCCTAACTTTACATCCCTTGCATATTGCCAGAAAATTGCTTTTATTTATCAAAACATCTTTATTAACATTAACAAATTCATTAGAAACATGAAGTGGCTTTCCGCGAGACATTTTTTGTTAAATTTTCCCCAATTTAATTTGGTTTCACAAGTATCCAAGATTGGAAAATTTTCCAAATTCCAAATTCATTTCCGAAATGTTCCAGTAAAATAAAAAATCTTTCTGGAAACAGGAAATTAACAACACTGACCCAAGCATAATTAAATGAATCACGATAGGTCAGTCTCACGTGATATTTCATTATGTGAAGGGTCATCATTAGTATTTAGTAATGTGTATGATTTAATAATTTTTTATTTTGTAATAAAATATCTGAAGTAAAAGAACTATCTTTATTCATTTTTTATAATTTAGAAGGAAGAGAGGATTCTCACTTGTGAACTACATTTATATTTTATTACTTCCATCAGTTACAATGCATAATCACACATCTTTACCATTTTTCCTTCTCAAGTAATTCTAAAAAGAGAACTTTTTTCGCTTTAATCATTTGATGATTTATCATGAATAATGCATCGATATTTTATTATCTCAGCAGTTGTATCGTCGATTTTATCATTTATTTATCATGAATAATGCATTAATATTTTATTATCTTATCATTAATTGTATCATTCAATAATTTAGAGAACATTCTTGTCTAATTGTGAACAATAAATAAATCTATAATTTTTATCACATTTTTATATTACTTATATCATGATTATATCATGTGAAGAAATACATTTGTATTCCTATTAAATTTTATTATGTTCAGAAATATGTATAAAAATGTTGATTTCGCAACCTTCTAATGTTTGAGATAAATGATAAGTAAATATAAAAAAAAATTTAAAAAATCACGTGAAATTCGATAACACAGTCACAGGGGTCCGCCCGACATGACCAATTTATTATTATCGAGTTTACATATGTATTATTAGAAATAATAACTTGTGTATTTCTAGAAGAAATCATAAAGAGGAAGGACGAGAAATAATAATGATTCTATACAATTTATTAATCAAAAAATAATTACTAATTATTGTTTTTTCCATCTTGTGATATTATTTAATATATTTTTATTTCCTTCACGCAACAATTGTTTTCTTGACTCTGCAATTTGTCTTGTATAAGTAGATTTTATTCTACAACAACCTTTTGGTCCACTCAAGAAATAACTTGAATTTATACAAACTAATTTATCTAATATTCCTTGTACACCTGAACCTTTTAATTCTTTAACTAAGATATTTCCTTTGTCCTCTTTTTCTTTTCCAATGTATTTTAAATATCCAAAACCATTTAAAGATTTCCAAGTTTTGATGCCTTTTATTGCAGAAATTAGTATCTTCATTGCTTTGATGTGATGTAATGTAATTTTGTGAAAAGTACCAGATTGTGCTTTTTCACCAGAATTTATAATTATACTACCATTCTTGTTGCAAGATATGGGAAAATCAGTTGCCAAATAAACATTTTTTATTCCGGTGTCTCTTCTTATTCTTTGTATTTCTTTAACCAAATTTCTGGCACAATTTGGCATATTTTCTGGCAATGCTTTTTCCATTCTCCAATGTATTGCAATATATGACGATTCAAGCTGATTAACAATTTTCAAGGCTTCGTTCCTTATATGCTTTGCGTAAGGAATTGGTTTGTACATGTTTTGAAACATTGGTTGTCTCAGATTAACGTTAATTAAAAGTATTTGTGAATCAGACTTCAAATTTTCGATCATGAATTCAGAAAATTTTTTACGTTCATTTATCTTTAAAATACGAACTTCTTTAAGTTTTACTATGTTTATTTTGGATTTGTATAAAATATTCTTATTATTATCAATAAAATTCGTCTGATTTTTATAATAAAGACC